TTTATTTTTGTATTTTCTCTTATGTTCACCTGAAAACTTTAACAACGCTAGGGCTGGGGATTTAGCTCAGTGGTTCCACTGCCTGCCTGGCAAGCACAAGGTCCTGAGTTCGATCCCCGGTACCAAAAAAAAAAAAAAAAAAGATGAAAAGTTTAACAACGAAGACTCCTCAGGTATTTTGTAATTTGGCTTTGGGTTGAATTCAGGAAGAACTTTCTGGAACTAGTTTAATTTCACTCCATCGTTTGGGAAAATGAAATCCATTTGGGAAAGTAGAATTTTGAGGGCCCACATAGGTAATCAGTCCTGACTCAGAGCATGTGCGAAGTCACCTTCTGCTGGAGGTGGGCACAAGGCCATGATAAAGCCTCCTGTTCCCTGACCCTTACTTTATTGACAAGGGTGCTGGGGAAACACTAGCTGGGGCTATTTGAAAAACCAACTTGAGCCCAGATAGAAATCTTACCTTTCCTCAAAGGGAGCCCACCGGGGATAAGCGGGGGCCCCAAAGGGGCCCCAGAGGCTCCCATGAGCCGTGTGCAGGCCGAGAGAAGGGGACCCTGAAGGCTGTTGCCAAATAGGAACAAACAAGAAGCATAGAAGCCATGGTTCCTTATCAGGAAACCTCAATACTTGCATCCTGGGGTCAGCTCAGATACTATGATATCAGATAAAAACATTCAAAACCAAATCCAGGAACTCTCCCAAGCTCTTAAAACTACATCTTAACTGTTAATGCAGCTTAGTTGGGGGATACAAGGCTGGGCTCTAGGGATGGACTGCTTCACTTCACATCACCTAGAGCAAACCAGGAAATCTCCCTAAGCCTCAGGTTTTTTCATTGATGAAGTGGGGATGGTCATAGTTCTGACTTCTAAGGAAGAAGCAAGTTAACCCCTACAGACGCTGGTTCTATGCCTGGCACACAGAGTTCAGAAATGTGAGCTATTACTATTCTTCTCCAACCACCTCTTATCTTTTATGCTTACAAGAAAAGTTAATGGGCATGCATAAAGTTACAAATTTCAAATGTAAGGGATATCCCTTATTACTTATTTTACCACCCAGGAAAGCTCAAACTATTCCACTCTACCCTTGAGATAAGGACAATATTGTGTATGTAACAGAGTCAGCTCAAAGGAATCCAAACTGGAAGGCTGTGCCACAACCTGGAGAAAGACACATGCTGATTGTAAACGGCGTATAAAGTGCGACACGTGTAGTGCGGACTCCCACAAGCAGAGTTCAGAGTGGCAATACTTTTCAGCTGACCTCAGCAGAGACACTGACAACTGAAAAAATTACTGCATGTAACCATGTCTGGAAAGGAAGTAAAACGGGGAAATAACCAGGGTGGTGGGGGAACGATAGACATAATTTGTTTCATGAGCCTGAGAGCCACCTGTGGATAAAATTAGAGGCCAGGACATTTTAAGTGCAAAATGCCTTCAGTTTCTCTAAAAATCTTACTAAAGGACTTAGGAATAAAGGCAGAAGGAGGGCAGTAAAGGTATTAGCATACCACAAAGCTCACAAATCGCCACTAAAATCTTACCTTTGGAGGGAGGGCTGTCTTCTTTGGAAAAAGTGCATCTTAAAAGGCACTTGAAGACTGAGCCAATACCTCAGCTCAAGTTCAAAATGATGTTTCCACATAATAGAACATGATACAGCTATTTAAAAATACTGTTTACAAAGGGTTTGCAGTAGCATTTTAATAGAACCCTCTTGCCTCATTAACTGAAGAAAAGAAGGGTGCAAAATTGGATAGAGTCTGACCTCAAGTATGCAAAAAAAGAACCCAAAATGCTGACAGCGGTTGCCTCTACATGACGCAATTAAGGATAATTTTTCCTTTGCCTTCTTCTCATCCCCCACTGCTCTGCAACTCTCTACGTGAGCACACAGCACTTTCACTAGCAGGAAAAATTATTTAAATAATGTGAGGTTTAAAATGGCACCAAATTATATTAAAAATCCATGAGGTTTGCGGAGATTTAAGAAGTCGGATTTTTATTGGTGGTGGTAAAAAATAACAGCCACTGGCTCCCAAGTGCTGCTTCCTGCCTCTCATCCAGTCAGGCACATACTACGGTGCCTGGCATGTGTCAAAATGCTGAGGACCCTTGATCACCGGGAACCTGATGAATCAGGCTGGGGTGATCCAAGTTTTCTTTCTTCTCCTCCTCCCACTGTCTGCATTGGGCTGGGTTTTGTTTTTGGTGTCTTATTAGTACCTCTGTGCTTCAGCTTAGAAGCCAAGCTTGTGTCTATCAATGTTCTTCTTTTCTAACAGTTCTGGTGACAAGTCTGGCAAGGGAGAAGCGTGAAGCTTTTGAATAAAGGGATTTGGGGATTATCTGTAGCTTCCAAGTGAACCTCACAATCCCGGGTCCTCAGGTCTCCAGGTATGCAGAGGCTGCATCCAAGAATCTGTGGACAGGACACAGAAGGGAGTCTTGGGAACTACTGGGCTGTCCTGGGGAGATGGGGCTCAAGCCTGCTGATATATCCCTCACAACCGTCTCTCGGGGAAGGCGACTGTCCTGAGGGAAGCTGAGGGAAGTGGCTTAATTCCCAGGAAGTTATGATGCCAGTGAGGAGTTTGTTCCCTCCGTCACCTGGTCTACCTTCCCTAAGTCTCTAGGAATCCTGATGCACCCCAGCAGCATGGGGGCCCTTATCTACTTACTTCTTATTTGCTCCCTGAACTCTTGAGAGGTGTAGCCAGGGCCTGGGGCAGAAGTTGCAAAGTCTGTGTAACACGGTGGCCATTAGTGCAGTCTGAAGTTGCTCAGGATTCAGATCCCTGTTCTGTCCCAGTGTGACCCTGACCTTCAGCCAATCGCCCAACATTTCTAGATCTTGATTCCCTCAACTGTAAAATGGAAGTAGCAGGCCTACCTCACAGGCTTGTGGAGAGGAGTGAATTAGTACATGTGGAGCGCCTGCCATACAGGAAGTTGAATAAATGTTAGCAATTGCAAAACAAACAAAAAGCCAACATGCCCTTCTTATCTGAACCCTAAAAAAATGAGGCCAATGACATGGCTGCGTGGGGTGTCCCACACAGATCCAGAGGTCAGCGAGATTTCACGCAGTGGCAGTGTGTAGCTGCAGCTCCGGACCACTCTCCTGTTCCCAACATGACTGAAACTCGGCCAGCTGCACACAAATGGCTGGGGTGAGCCCACAGGACAGGCGAGACTAGGCTGTCCCACGGGGCACTATTTATAGACAGTGTTCCTTCACCTCCAGTTCACCATGTAACAGTCTCGTTGGCTCAGCTTGGGGGAAACAGTGTTCTTGTCAAAACACACGTCAAAAATATCCCAAATCTGAAGAGATAATTGGTGGGGAGGCCCAGGAAGGATTGACGGAAACTTCTTCTGCCAGGCTAAGGGGTCCAATCAGCCTGACCAGTTCCATGTGGCTACAGACTTCACTGGAGAGATGCCTGGAGCATGACTGATGAGTATTTACCTTTCCCCAGGAAACAGAGCCAGCGCCAGAGGAAAGATATCAATGTATACTTTAAAAGAATGTGTATACAAACTCCCTCCCATATGTTACTGGGTTTCCTCCAAAGGAAACAGATTAAATCAAATGCCTACCGGGCACTCAGCACGGTACCAGGCCGTGGGAACTCATGGCCCCATTCTTGGGAAGCTTCAAATCAAGTCGGGAAGGCTGGGAAAATGTGAGTGAAAAGGTGAAGTATCAAAGTGAGACATTTGTGATGAGGCAAAAGAATGAGGCAGATCATGAGTCTTCCAGGAGGCAAGGGGAGAGCTAGATCGCTCCATGGTGTGGGGTTGAGCTGAGGCAAAATACAAACACAGTACACAGGACTCGGTGGAGCAGAGAAAAAGCAAGCAAGCATTCCAGGCTGGGAGTACAGTGTGATCAAACGCATGGAAACAGTACTACGCAATGCACGTTTGCAGAATAGCAAGTCTACAGGTTTGGCTGCAGGAGGGAGTAGCATGTGTGCAGAAGGGAGAACTAGAGAAAGAAGAGGAAGGGGTCTTTCTGGGATTGTCTAGTACAATTTCATTTTGTGGATGAGGCAACTGGAGGCCCAGAGAAGTTAAGCAGTTCACCTAAAGTCACGTAGCTGGTTATCAGTTGGAAAGGCAGATCTGTCACTATGTAGTTAAGAATCTGCGGGGAGGGTCAACTGACTGGCTGTCAAGAGGTCAAGGGACATCATCAGTCTAGGGTGACAAATGGTGAGGTTCCCAACCATAAATGTTGTTGGAAGCCACTGGAGTGTTCGATAAATGCCTGCTGATGACACTGGTGAAGCCGAGTCCTCTCATACCTCTGACTTTATTTTCTTCTCCCCCGACCCAATGCTCCTCCCGAGTGAACAAAAATCTCAATTTGACCCAGGTATATCCATACAGTGGGAAAAAATAGTCCTATGAGATAAAAGTCAAGGGGAGTCTCAAAGCATTTTAGATCTCTAACCTCTCTGAGGTGTGTGTGGGTACAAAGGGCAGAAAACAAACCCCCTCTGTGGGTGGCAAGTGGGCTGGAGGGAAGGAACACCTGTTTTTTCTTCTTTTCAAACCCTATAATCTCTCACAACTTTGAAGTTGTGAGAAATCAGGTGCTTTGTACATTTCCAGCGTCAAGGACAGAGAACTGAAAGGTTAAATGTCTCAGGAAGGTGAGTCAGGAATGGAGTGGGGGCTGGACCTCCATTTACCTCACCCAGCAGCAGATGAGTAAGGAAAGGAGCGCATCTTGGCACATTCTCGAGGAGCAAAGTTGATAGAGATTCGTTACACGTTGGGGTGGGGCAGAAGTGGGGGCTCTTAGGTACAGATTTCCAGAATTTCTTCCAAGCCATTTCTGGGGATCTTTAAAGAGTTCTCAAAACAATTGGTAGGCATGGTCTTGTGTGTCATTTAAGAGCATTAAGAAAACTTTTAAAAGCACAGAATGGATCATGGTTAAAATAAGACATTTGAAGAAGGCACACAAAAACCAACCTTAAGCAACTGGCCATCTCCAGTCCCCAAGAATAAAACAGTCCTGTTCAATACCACGGTGCCATAAACGGATGTCAGGTCGGAATGGATCAAGGTAGAGGATGCGATGGGCTGTACTCTCTCAGGTTGATCCCCTTCTTTCTGAACATGCACACAAACGCACAAATACAAAAAGAGAAATTTTAACAGCGATACGTCTCATCAAACCGATAAAATGTCACTCTTGACCTTTTAGGAAGGGTCCCATCTGTGGACCCAAATACAGTTTTCTTAGACGAGATCCCCAGGAGCAACTTTTGTGACCTTTATCTGTCAAATGGCCATGCTTGCCCAACCCATGGAAAGCGATTTGTTTACAATGTATTAACGCATATTGATTGCCAGCAGCCAGCTAGCCATCCATTTAACACTCCCAGCTGATAGAGGAAGCCAGGCCCACTGCAGTGCCAAGAGAGCCCACTGCTGAATGGGGAGGGAGTCGATCTTACACTTGGCTGTTCGCAGGCTCCTGCCACCATTGGTCTGAGCTGGGCACTGGCTTCCATGACGTTAAACACAAACACTCGCCGAGATGTGACTAGGATGATCCTATTGGGTGGGATGACAGAGAGGAGGGATTTGGGAGCAAAGTGACGAGCAAAACGCCCAGGGAAGCTCACAGACAGGGTGACTCATTCGGAGGGCAAAGAAACAGCCGTGGACGGTGGTAGGACAGAGCCACGGAGCAAAAGAGGAAACAAACAGAAGGGCAAGAACTGGAGCTGATGCTTTCAAAGAGGAAATGAAAAAGCCTAACTCCCGACCGGAAAGCATTTCAATCGTCAGAGGCTTTGAGCACATGTAATCACATGCTTGCTCCTGATCATTAAACAGGGCCCCTCTTTAAACCCAGAGCAGAGAGAGTGTCGACCAAAATGTCTTTTTCCTTTTTGTTTAAAAGGAATGAAGTGCCTCATGCTCTTCCTGCCTTCAACTGTAGAAAGCGGAGTTGGTTACACAAATCTCTGGAAGATACGGAGCTAGAAAGAGCCGTTGCCGTCTGCAGCAACTGAACACAGTGTGATAGCATACTTTATCTGCCAGAGCTGGCTTCCCAACTGCAGGAGGGTTTGCAAAGGCACATTTAAGTGTCAGCCAATGGGTGAGCGGCCAATTCAGGCAGCATCACCACAACTTGGGGAAGGGCCGTGTTCAGGGCGCGGGGAGGTGGGCAGGGGGAGGCCAAGACTTATTAACTTCATTATATGATTGCTGACAGTGTTTATGTCTTTCAATTTATGTCTTATTAAATATTCATTATTTGAAAACCCACCGAGTTTCATTAACATCCACACGAAACGGATCCACGGACTAAATTGATTTCTGAAGCCGTTAAAGTGCCGTCGATATTTCTCTGTTGACGTTGGGCTGTGAGAGAAAAGACAGGCTGGCAGGGAGTCCTCCAAGGCCCTGATTCCTTTTCGAGGAAAAGATGTCATAACCTAAGTGACTCATCTGCATAAAATATTCTATAGCAAACTTGCTCTAAGAAGATTTTTGGAAAGCCCATTAGAGAATTGTTTTTTGCCTGTTAAAAGATAGTACTTTTCAGTCAGGGAAGAGGAGGGGCGGTCCTGTTAAAATTGAAGTTAAGGAAAAAACTATCTCTGTGGGTCTAAGGATCGGAACAATAGATCACTGTTTAGATAAGGAAGCCTCATGACTACCAGCAGCAGAAGAAAAATCAAATGACCTTTAAGTGAAAAAAAAAACCAAACCACACCACATATCTTGCTTTAAAATAAAACCACAATTGTTCAAACATTAGACTGGCTGACCATGCCTATTTTTTTAAATTAAATATTTGAGCATCACAGAGAGGCTAACTCAGGGAATTGGGCATAATCTCCAGACTTCTAGAATGTCCTAATATCACTATCTTTGGGTGGGAGACTCCATTCCCTGTCATCCCACAACATGGAAAGACTAAAGGCTATGGATTGGGGATCATACGCAAGGACCAAATGGCACAGTATACTCCCAGGTGCTTAATAACCATGCCTGTTCCAGTAAGCCAAGAACAATGGTGTCATGTCGCCTTTGCCAAGGTGGAATGAGATATCCTATTTGTGAAAGACTGGCTCCAAATCACACAGGCAGCTCAGAAGATGAAAGGAGACAAGGAGAATATTTGTTCCAAATTACCATGTCACCCAGTCTAGTGTCTTTCCCTGACATCTGACTGCTCCTCACCAAGTGGAGTTTTCCAAATTAAGTCCTAGATCAATAGGATAGGTAAGTAGTACAGCCATTAAATCAATGTTCTCAAACTTGAGAGACTGATGGTGTAGAACAACCCACCTGGGACTCGTTTACATTTGAGCTTGGCGCTTACTCATTGGGTGCACTATGCGATTTATTTAACCCAGTCAGGAGATGGCTTTCTCAACTGTCTGATAAGGCTTTCTCAACTGCTGATTGGTATGAAGTTATGAAGAAGACATAATAAATGATAATGGTACTGATAATAATAATAGCAGCTAATAGGCATCATTATGTGCTACATAGAATATATTTTATCATTTACCTAATAGAGGCCATATAGGGTAGTGAGCCAGACTGCCTGGATTTGAAGCCTGGTTCTGTCATTTCTAGCTAAATAATTTTGTGCACATTTGTTAACCTCTGTCACTCAGTTTTCTCCTCTGTATAAGTGATGATAGCAGCATTTCTTTCATATGTCTGTTTTATGGACTGAATGAGTACTCAAACCCCTCAGTACAGCTTGGAAGAGTAACCCATAATCTGTGCTTGTTATCATTACTTTATTTAAAAACACAAATGGTTGCTGCCACACACAAGGCAGTTACTCCCACTTTGTTTCCCCAAAGAACCCTAATTTTGTGCAGGCAGCAATAAACCTAAGCCTGGAGAAAACCAGGACTAGCCCATGCCAAATGGCAATTCCATAGTATTTGCCTTCCTACTCCACAGAGCTAAGGGTAGCTAAGGCCACATGTTCCACTTCTGGCCAGTAAGATATCAGATGTCCACTGGAGGGATTTCTGGGAGTAGTTTCCCCCTCAATGAGAAAAGGCTTTTGAGGGAAAGGCCATTTTCCTTATTCCCTCATTTCCTCCTTTGGAATTCAGTTGTGTGATGCCATCATGGACAGACTGGGTGGCAGCCATTTTGCTTCCATGAAATTCAAGATGGAGGATGAAAATCAACATGATACGTGCAGGGGAAAGATAAGAGACCCTAGGTTCTTGAGGGCAACACTGAACCACAGTCCTCCAACCTTTAAATTTTTTTATTAAGCTGTCAATAGATGTCACGGTTTAAGCCACCGTTGATGGGGTTCTCTGATACTTGGAACCAAAAGCGAGTGACTGTTTAAGAAACGAGAATCATAACTTGTTGCACTAGACCAGGCTGGAGGACTTGAGCCATGGTCAGGATTTTGTAGCCAATTATGAGCGAGCCTGGAAGAAAATAGGAGAGAGGAGGCTTGGACCTCATGAAAACTCTAGGGGCTGCTCTGGCTGAATGGAAATGGATTCTTTTGTGCTGGAAACACACAGAAATGGACAGGTCTCTGTGAGTGGAGAAAGGAGCTTTCTGAATGGCTCTCTTATGCTCATTTCAGCAAATGAAAACAAAAGAGAGACAGGCTCCCAAGAAACCTCCTCACAAAAGTGAAGTTAATACCTAGGGAGCCAAGCAGAAAAAGGGGAGAAATAGTGCCGTCGGCCCCCTGTGTCCAGAAATTATTCTTACTCTTTACTTTTTCCGGCCTATTTTCTATCTTGCCCTTCTCTCCCCTTAGGGCATAATCGCTAATGTTGCTCTCAGCCTATTCTGTCTAGTTTATTATGTGTAATTTATTTCTGAATCCCAGCCTCTGCTTGTTCGTCTGTGTGTAACAAGGTTAATGCCTTGTAATGATGCTTTTGCCAGTTCTGCCTTTCATGACAAAATCCAATCTTGATTTAGCTCTAAACCTTGTCTCCCCTTTGGGCTTTCTTGGTTCCCTCAAAGTTGTCATTCTGTGTCTCCTTCCTGCCACGTCTCACCATAACAGTACGCTTAGACTTTTCCCTGCTTGAAGAACTTTTCTTAGGTGGAGAAAGATGCAGTCTCGTCCCCAGAGATGTTTAGGCTGAAAGAGCAAGAGCCTTGGGGCCAGTGCAGCAGAGGGGCCTGTGCCCAAGGGCACGCGTAGGTGCATGTCAGTGCATGTGTGTGTCGGGACCAGGCGTGTGGCCTGGCCTGAGAGGAACAGCTGACCTTCTTGCAGCTGCTTCATGCTACTTTTTGTTGACACCAGACCCTCCCCTGCGATGTGCACATTGTTCCCTGTATACCGCCAAAGGCTCCCACAGGCCATGAATTCTGCCAGTGAGCAGCACCAAAACCCTGCCCGATCTTGTGATGTGTGAGAGACTCCAGGAGGCTTGGGCTGCAGCCAGCTGCAGCTTCAGTTGCAACACCCAGAGAAAATATTCACAAAAGTGGGACCGCCAAGTGTCTCGGACCCAGGAAGAGCCAAGCCTTTTACTGCACGGTGCCCAAAGGGCTCTTCTATGTTGGGATGCTGGGGTTTGTTTGTTTGTTTTTCTGTTGCTGTTGTTGTTGCTGCTGCTGGTATTGTTTTTGCAGCACTGGGGATTGAAGCTACAGTCTTCACACTGAGGTACGTCCCTGGACCTTTATATTTTTATTTTGAAACAGGGTCTTGCTAAATTGCAAAAATGCACTGACAGGGATCCTCCTTCCTCAGCCTCCCAGAGTGCTAGAATTACAGCCATGTGCCATTGCACCTGGCTATATATGTTGGGTTTTCTTTACAAGGAAAGGGCTAATACCAACTGGGTGCTTACTGATTTCTTATTCATTGATAAAGTGCCTGTTTGGGGCAATTAATTTTGTGTGCTGTCCCATGGAGGCACTCGTTTTGAAGCAGTTTCTCCATTGCTGGCTATTTATTACTCACCCACGGCTGCTTATGGTTGAGAAGGCTCGGAAGGAGGCCCGCACCAACATTCTGGCCCTGCTCTGCCCCTTCAGGCCACGGGATTTGAACAAGTCCCCAAATGAACTTCGGTGACCGCAGCTGTAACACTACCAGCATCATCCTGAGGCTCAACGGAGCCCGTGTG